GTGCTACGGTGGAGTTGGGCCCGGAAAGTTGTCCCCCCCCCCCCGGCCGGGTTGTGACAATTTTCCCCTTGAACTTTAATATTAGCCGATTACCCCTGAACTTTTATAAATATCCAATTTTCCACCTGACACTAGATTTTAAAAAATTTCATCCATCCAATTTTTTTATCTATTTTGATCACGCAGACAACACATGACGATGTATTGGGGCAAAAAAAAATGGAAAATTAGATGGATGAAAAATTTAAAATCTAACGCTGAGGGTAAATTGGCTATTTATAATATTTTAAGGGGGGTAATCGGCTAAAGTTAAAGTTCATGGGGGAAATTGGCTAATTATCAAAGTTCAAGGGGTTAATTGGCTAAAATTAAAGTTCAGGGAACAAATCAACAAATACCTTTTTAATTTAAGGAAAATAATTTATTGGCTTCGTGAATCCCTGTCCTGTTACCTAATGATTGATGGTTATAGTCCACCCACAATTTATACAAAGGGAAATTTTATTTGAACTCATCTAACCTCTTTCTACACCCAACTTAAATTATAAATGTGAATTGTCTATTTTATCCTATTGCATAATTACTATCAAGTACAAGATGAAATTAAGAATAAAACTAAAATTTATCAATAAACCCATACTCAATAATCAAGTTCTACCATCACACAATTTTTATCCTACGTTCATTCTTACTAAATTCCTAAGAGCTTCCATAAAACCCTACGATCACCTAATAACCAAATTTGGTTGCTTTTCATTTCCTCTTTAGCTTCATGTTTACTCGTTCAGGAAGAGCGATAATTACAAGCACTATCACCACAAGAAACAAAAGAGTTAGAAAGCTTTCAACACATCGAAATGTTTTCCATGTCATTACGAGTGCATGTTTAAAGTGTGAGTTCTCTTCTTGTTATTTGTTCAGTTCTGCTTCATTCAACTATGTATGCCTGTAAAAGCTGCATATATTGCTCAAATGAAAATTATTGCCATGATTCTTCAAGAAAACGTGATGAGAAGTTCTACCGAAATTTACTATCACTAAGGTGTCCACATAATTTTACATAAATTCCAAAAGTACTAGTTCAACTGCTTACCTAGCAGCTACTGAACTGTTTAATCTTGAATTACAAATTCATCACTCAATTCCACGAATCACATACAGGCTAGCTAGTTGGACTACTCCATTAAGAGCTTGGCAAAGATCATTTCCTAACAACCTTGCACTCCAAACCGATGTAAAAAAAGTTTAAAAAACAAATTGATGGTGCTGATCAATTCATCTATAGCAATTGGTTGCCATGACAAAATCTTAATTCTTCATTCACTCATTTGGGATTTTATTTTCTAAATGGGTGTAAAGATGAATTTTTATATATTGAATTGAGTTTGTGAGGATAGTTTAGATAGTAAATTTGGGTTTAAAGAGAGATTAATTCTTTAATTAAAAATAATATGAGTGTAAAGAGTAAGTTGAGTGAAGAAAGAGGTTGTATGAGTTCAAATAAAATTTCCCTTTGTACAAAGATGCGGTCCAAATATAGTAAAGCAGTTGTCAAGTAGATTACGGAAGGGGGTTTAGGGTTGTTGATATTTACCCAACACGCCACTACTCCCAAACTGCAAGCACCAAAACCCGGACAAACGTTACAATAATTTCGCATATATATATATATATATATTTTTTTTTTTTTTTAAAATTATTATTATTAATGAGAGAAAGAGGGTTCAAAACTATTACAATAATTTTGCATCACCGTTTGTCAATCTTGAGCTGTTGTTGTTTGAACTATTGCAGTTTTCTTGATTTTTGGGACTTGTCATGCATGAACTGATTTTATATGCTATGATATGTTCACTGGGATTTGCAAATTAAGTCTATGGATTCGTATGTTAATCACTGATCATATAGACCTTTTGTATATTTCTCTTATTAGTGAAACTAGGCTTCTGGTTTGGTATATCAGATGAATGAATCTGATATGTAGGTTCAACGTTCAAGCGAACCTGATGAGATAGTGAGCCATCAAATACTGGACTCTTCATGAGGAGTTTATCAGTCGACCAATGCTTTTGTAGCTGAAATGATTGCTTGATGCAAAGCTCCGACTCCGAGCACTAGAACGGCGTAACAAAAATGGTGTAAGTTCTAAGTTCTAATGTCAATGTAATGCGTGTATAATATTTGATGCAAAGATATGTGATTACTTGATGGAAAGGTGAGAAGAACCAGAACGAAAGCAATCAACGTGAAACTCAAAAGGCCATAAACAAGTAACTGCAGCAACAAAGCAGGTCATTAAATCAGATAACGGTATGTTGAACCATTTATTTCAAAAATATACTCTTAAAATTAGGCGGACTCATTGTCACAAAATAGAAATGTTGCTTAGTTGGATTAAAAGTCAATGGACCTAAATTGAGGCTACATATTGATCTTATATCTAATTATCTCTGGATTAAACCTAATAATCGGCTACCTATTTTGATAATAAAGATCTTTAGGATCAATAACTAATTGATGTTGAAGGAGTTTTTATATGACATCGATGGAGTTTTATATATGTAGGGTGTATTGAATTTTAAAGAAATTGACACTGATGGAGTTTTAAGAAATTGGCAATCGATGTCATGCCCCAGGTTGCTTAAGCTAATTCTACTCTTTTTCTTTACTACCTTATGTCTTTTTACCAAATACTTTGTATCCATATTCTTGTTTCCGTAGGCGATTCCACAACTAACTCGTATTTCAACTTCATGCTTTCCTAACTCGAAACTTTGGCAACAAAGGATTTAATAAAAATTTGATGGGTCGATTAGTCAACCCTTCGTTTCGGGTCTTTGGCTGTGACAACTGACAACTGAGAAATCTGCTTGGCTGATTAACTATTCTCAAGCTTCAAATATTTCACCAAAATACCTTTCCAATTCCAAATACAATGCCCACACACACACACACACACACACACACACACATATATATATAATTACCCACCGGCATGAGTTACTTGTCTTCAAGCAACATTTCTAGCATTTTCAAGTTCTAAACACACCAACACTTTACACTTGACAGCCTTAGCTTTCCTCTTTGTATAATCATGTACGCACATCATCTAGGTCTAACCTGCCTATTGAGTTGAGCTAGACCCTAAAGTCTATACTGTGTCACGAAAATGATGTTTGTGACCAGTTGACCAAAAAATATATGAGGTTTTGCGTGTGCAAACAGATGGCTATGTGTTCCAAAAGGACGGACCTAAAATTTTCTACATATATATAACCGCACAAGGATCACTTTTGCATTCATATCCCCTTCTGTGTCTCTCACACAGTCACCTAGTGTGAGAGGGAGAGAGAGAAAGGAATAAATCACCAATTGGCAGATCTACTAATTTAGTACACTCATGTGAAATATGAATTTGGTTGTCCACAGAAAATGAAAGACAAAGGAAGAATAATGATGGTGTGATGGTCGGTACTTAAAGAAAGAATCAAGCGTTTAGAATTGTGGTACGTTTGGTAACCAAATTGAAAATGCCAAATTAAAAATCGAATCGAAATTTCTGTTAACTACAATTTTAAACAAAAATAACAAATATGCTTTTATTCGGTTTTTGTTTTCGGTGAAAACCAAACCTACCAGTTTTGCTGGCGAAAACTGAACCGAAAACTTTGGTACTTTTCAATTTTGGTAAATTTCAGCTTGGTCATTCTCGGTTCGATTTCGGTATAGGATTCAGAAAATGTCAGCCCTAGTAAGAGTATTACTTTTAAATATGAAATCAACATATTAGCTTGGATGCGAATCTGAAAATGACAATTTGTTCAAATGAATGTCAAATAAGTACTAGATCTACGTTTTTATCGTTTAATTTTGTGTTCTTTGGGGTTACATTAAAGCAAATTAAACTCTTAACCTTCAATTTGCTTCGCGGGGTCAGGTGTTCCCATGACCCTAGCTAGTTGTGTTCCATTTCTTGTATATTTTCTTCTTAGCTCACTTGCATATCTGTGTGAAATCGATATTTGACCCTTTTTTAATGTGTAGGTTCATTGGACTTCTATACTTATTGTATCCTAAAACTAAGACGAAAACATCACTCTTATTCGATTATTGAAGTGCACTCAGCCATTACCCCACCATTACCATTTGAAAGACTTAAATTTGTATATTCTTTATACTAGTACATGAATTTTAACGAACCAATTTACTTTGGTGGACTAGGAGTTTTGTGCATCTTAGAGCATTTACAATGGAACTCTTTATTTAGGGACTTCCACAACCAATTTTTAAGACTCATTTAGGGACTCTAAGGGATTATACGGGTCTCTAAAGGAATATTATCTGCAATATGAGGTTCTTATAGTATAGTCATTTGACTAAAATACTAAAAAATTATTGTTTATTTTGTTGGAGTATTGTGGCTGTTGATAAAAACCGAAAAGCTATCTCTACCTTTAGAAGAGAAAGTCCAAAGAAAATTAAAAAGAGAAGTTGTTGTGTAGCATTCCTAAAAAGAGAAGGCATTTCCACGTGGGTGAGATTGTTCCTTACTCAAAATCAACAGTGAATCCATTCTTTGAGTCCTTATATACAGTCCTAACATTTGGGGATCTCTTTGAGGTATCAGGTAAACCCCTATATATTAAGATACTTTGAGAATTTATATTCCGACCTATTGGAAACCTTTTCTACCTATATTTAGAGATTATATAGTTGTAGAAACTTCATTTAGGTCCCCATTAAAGATACTCTAAGAGTCTATTGTACTTTGTAGATTCGTAACGTTTTCGGGCAATTGTCCAGTACCAATCGGTATTTAAGTCTCTTATTCAGCAAACATACACAATTAATCACTAACTAGAATCTTTCCTAGAACAACAATTCTTGTCCAACACACACAAATCGATTCAGACGCATGGATTCCCAATCGTATCAAAAGAAGAGAGGGAGACCATTCACCTGTAAAAGCATAAGAGCCTTTGATCTGTCGGCTTCCTACTGAGATGGATAGACAGATTATAGAAAGAAAGAGCTTAAGTCCCATCGTGTAATTACAATTCTTCTTTTGAGATTCATCAGCTCGTCTGACATCTTCTTCTACTTCCAGTAACTGTTTTCCCTTCGCCCATCGCACTCTCACTTTTCCATGCAAAGACCAACACTGTCAGCGTCAAACTTGCGCAATGCGGGAAGCAAAGGTGACAACCTTTTTTTTTTTTTTTTTTAAATTTCTCAGCAGGCCTCTGCAAGTCCTGCCACTAAAGATCATGACTTTGAATTTTGATAAATATTTGGGAAAGTATTTTCTTTACTTTCTCTATCCTTTTTGTCATCAATGCAATTCCAGAAAAAGGTGAAATAAAAAGCAAAGAAAAAACCTTGAGCCAGTACTTTTTTGTTCTAACTAAAAAGCCACATTTCCCTCTGTTTTTCTTCATTTTTCACTTGTGAGTTTTCTCTCATTTACGTCCAATTGCTCTCCTCTGAACTTTCATGGCTTTTTTGCCTCTTTTCCTTGTTGGGTTTCTTGTTTTGGGAGGGGGCTTGATTTCAGGGCAGCAAAACTCAGGTGGGATTATGGAAAGGGAGGAGCTTTTGGGACTTTTTGAAGCTTTGGGTGGCCTTCTGGAGGACCCCAGCTGGGCCCAAGAGCACCCACAGCCCTGTGATGAGACTCCATGGCCTGGTATTCAATGTGAAATTGGTGATGAAAATCCTCCAACTTTTCATGTCACAAAGATTCACATTGGCCCTGACATTCTCACCCCTCCTTGCAAATCCTCTGCTTCCCTTTCAAGTTCCCTCCTCAAATTACCCTACTTGAAAACCCTCTCAATTTTCAATTGCTTTTTAACTACACCAGTCACTCTCTCTCCATCACTATTTGGTGCATTGTCTTCCTTGGAAACCCTAGCCCTTGTTTCCAATCCAGCTCTCTCAGGAGAAATCCCCCCAAACTCGTCAAAACTTACAAACTTAAGGGTCCTCAGCCTCTCACAGAACAACCTACAAGGAAACATCCCTTGGGAAATTGGTGGGTTGGTGAGACTAGAGCAGCTTGACCTAAGTTACAACAACCTAAGTGGTGAAATCCCACAAGAAATTGGAGGGTTGGGGAGTTTGACAATCTTGGATTTGAGCTGGAATGTTCTAGAAGGTCAGGTGCCTAACTCTGTAGGGCAGCTTCAAATCCTCCAAAAGATTGATATGAGCTCCAACAGGCTGAGAGGATTGATCCCTCCAAATGTAGGGCAGCTCAAGAGGTTGGTATTGTTTGATCTGAGTCATAACTTGATCAATGGGCCAATCCCAGAAACCCTTTCAGGTTTGGAGAATTTGGAGTATTTGGTGGCTGATAAAAACCCAATCAATTCAGAAATTCCTCAGTTTGTAGGGAAACTTAAGAATCTCAAATCTCTGAGTTTTTCAGGATGTGGGTTGATTGGCAAATTACCTAACTCCCTATCTTCCTTGAAAAATCTCAGTTCCCTCTCTCTAGACAACAACAGTCTCAATGGGACAGTGCCTACAAGTTTAGGGACACTCCCAAGTTTGGATCAGCTGAATCTGAGCAACAACAAGCTGAGTGGGGCCCTGTCACTTCCAGAGGATTTCATTGAGAGGCTTGGGAAGAGGTTGGATGTGAGAGGAAATAATGGGCTGTGTGCAATCAATCCATTGTACAAGAAGAAGAAGAGCATCTCTGCAAATCTGATAAGTACCCATGTTTGTTTGAATGCAAGTGGAGCAACAAATGACACGGCCTTGGCTGGTGAAGAAGAACCAAATGTGTCTGAGAGAATGAAGCCATTTGGTCAGTACCCTGTCGAGAACAATAGTTCTGGTTCTCCATCGAATTCAAATGCAAAGACGGTTTCTTTTGGTTTTGTTGTGTGTTTCTTGTGCCTCTTGTTGTAAAAACCCACTTCGTTTTTGTTCAATTTTAAGGCAACTTGATGAACTTGTTTTGATTTGAATTAGCTCATTGATAAAACTAGCCAAAATTTGCATACTGCGTAATTAGTCCGCATCAAATACATCTTCTCGTAAATTAATGTAATTTAAAGTAGAATATCGCATTTCAATAAAAACAAAAGATCAAAATAAAGTTTGTAACACACGACTTTTTGCAGCCTATTTTCTTTTTGGATTTTACTGGACTCATGGTATTTACTATCAAAAGCTGATCAGTCTTGTCTGGATGAGAAAAGAAAAGAAGAAAAGCCGATCAGTGTTTGTCAACTTTGTCTAGTGTCAGGTCTCATCACCGAGAGCTGCCTATAATCTGTATATTCTGCAGGCTTTTGCTAAGGAAGCAAAGAGATACCTTGATCATTTACAACATTCTGACTTTAATCTTCATAAACGTTAGTAAATGACATTGTTTCCAGTGAATGAATTATACCTGTAAGGAATATACGTACGGAGAGAGAGAGAGGGAGAGAAAAACGCGAAACAATATAGAGGAAGATTATTTCTCCTCTTAATCTCTTTTCTTTGTCCTCTCTTTCTACTTGAATAGTTACAGTTAAACCAAGTCAATGTCTTCTATTAAATTTTTTTTTATAAAAATAATAAGATAAAAAGTAAAGTGTAAGAAAATGGGAGGAAAGATGATGAAAATACGAGGTCCTGCTCCAAATAATATAGATCGGGTTACACTGGAATTTGGTAATGCAGTTGGGCCTGAATCTGAAAGTTATAAGCAATTAAGAAAGGCTTCCCTTTTCTTTTGATAAATTTTGATTGAACATCCAAATCCAAAATCCAAATGTTTAAAATTGTCCAAAAGCTGCAGATACATTCCCTTTCTTATGCAGCTCCTTGTTTCTCATACATGCATCAAAGAAATTAAAAAGAACAAGTGGAAAAAGAAAACAAAAATAGTTCAGTACATGAACTTAATGTGGGCCCACAAAAGAAAAAGAAAATTAGTGGTAATTAGAATCAATGATCATCAATGAAATCAAAGCAAACTCAAATTCTGACAGTACTGCTGCACAATCATCATCCTAATTAGCAATACTTTTCTTTTAATTAAGGAATAATAATATTATTAGACATGTTTAATCCCACATCCAAAAAATAATAATTTGCCAATGTACTTCTCCACCCCTTAATTTTGTAAAGTAAAATTCTTTTTAGTTACTAATCACATCGTTACGCTAAAAATTTATTTATATTACCTTGTGATCAAAATTTGCACAAAATAAAGAACGAAGTTCGCTTAATTTAAAATTTTATTTAGGAGGGTGTTGTGGAATATTAATCCATGATATTATTATTTTAACATTAAATGGGATGAGCATGAAGGAACGATAGATTTGACAATTCCTCTCGCCTTGAGAAACCAAATCCACTCACGTTTCTTTATTTTCTTATATGGATGCGTACCTCTTTTGTCTTCACCCCTTCCCCATCATTGTTTAATACTTTTTTTCTCGAATCACTCCTGTCACTCTGATCACTTTCTTTGTTTGTTCACTGAAAAATTGTATATAAGGATCCAAGTGGGATTTTGAGTTTTGAATTTTCTCTCTTCTCTCTTTAGCCACCCTCTTCTGCAGCTCCTCTTTGTTCCTGCAATCACACAAGGTGTGTTCTTTGCACTCTTTGATTATTTGTTTAGATTATTTCATTGAATTTCGACATGGGTTTTGATCAAAATCATGTATGATGTATTGAAAATGAAATCTTTTCTGATTGTTGTATTGAAATCAATGTTTTTCTTTCTTTTTTGCCAATCATGTGTTTGATTTTTTTTTTTTCTTCTGAAGTGATGTAGTAGAATTTGAGACATGAGTGCAACAAAGTTTGATTTTTTGAATCCGATATGTGTTTGGATTGTTGGGTTATTGTTAGATTTGTTCAAGCTTAATTCTGATTTTTTTTATTAGTGGGACTAATCAGAAGTTTAAGGAACATAACAAGCTACATCAGTCTAGTCTCAGGATATGGATCACTAGTCATAGCTTATGAGTTTGATCGTTCATAGCCCTACTGCTTTACATCTGTTATTGTAAATGCTTGGGATACCGTCACCCTTCTTCGTTGCATGTAAGTTCTTCTCCAATTTAAGATGTCCCAAGAATGTGTTCAACTTGGGGATCACATCCCCTGCAGTTAAAATTTGAGACTTGGAAACTTGGATGCCACTGGTTTCTGGTTGGACTGGTGTAGGTTTAGGGTTTAAGGGAAATAATGAATGTCGATGGTTCATAGTTTCTATAACTTAAAAATTAGGATTGCTTTTTCGGTCAATTGCTTGATTCTCTGAATTTGAAAGAATCCGACATAACATGATATTCAAGTGATTTTCATTCACTAATACTGTGGAGATAGCATAAACAAATTGCAGAGATGGAGATAACCAATGTTTCTGAGTATGAAGCAATTGCGAAGGAGAAATTGCCAAAGATGGTTTATGACTACTATGCATCAGGTGCAGAAGATGAATGGACTCTCAAGGAGAACAAACGCGCATTTTCGCGGATTTTGTAAGCCTTATCTTGCTTTTGGGTTTGGCCAATCATCTCGAAAGTAGTTCCTTTTGTTTTTTGATTTTTTCTGGGTAGATTTCATTCATCATAAGAAAATTTTCAATTGAAGCTATTTACTGAACTTGTGTATTTCTTTTCAGATTTCGACCTCGTATTCTTGTAGATGTAAGCAAGATAGACTTGAGAACAACTGTTTTGGGCTTCAATATTTCGATGCCAATTATGATTGCGCCTACAGCCATGCAGAAGATGGCTCATCCTGAAGGTATAAACCCCTTTTGTAAAGGGGTACTTTCTTGTTTATTTATACTCTTCTGTGACATACAACTATATAAGTTGCAACATTTATAACTCAAACAGCAATTGGAATTACCATCAATGCCTTTCAGTTGCTGAATCGGCTCAAAGCTCGTTAAAGTTTCTCTTTGTCAAGTTTTTCTTATTAACCAGAGATTGGCTAAATTTAATTTGTAATTCTCAATCAGGAGAGTTTGCAACGGCAAGAGCAGCATCTGCAGCTGACACAATTATGGTATGGCTTAGAACCATCCAGTTATTTTTCTAAAACTGAATTCTGTTTTCCTATAGCAGTTTCTTTAACATTAGATTGTATCAACAATTTCAACTTATGTACGCAATTTTGGTTGTTGTAGACACTGTCATCTTGGTCTACTTCCAGTATCGAAGAGGTTGCGTCAACAGGACCTGGCATTCGCTTTTTCCAACTCTATGTGAGTTTAAAATTTATCCCTCTATTTTTTTCTGCTACTTTCTTTCTTATTCTTTTATCTTCTATTTGGCTAAATTCACTCATTTAACATGCGGTGTTAGATAAATGCTCTAGTGCTGAGAGAAATTTGTTTCAGGGAGAAATTTCATTCACGTTACGTTTTTGTTGAAAGCTTGGTTACAATTTAACGAACTAAACTTGTTCCCTCAAACAGACTTCCTTATAATTTCAAGGTGACTTTAAAAGTTGAAGTGAGTTCTTTGTCCTCCAATTAAGTGACCTCTGTCTCTAATTCGCTATATAGAAGTTAATTAAGGCCTGAAACAAATATTTACCTTCAAGGTTCTCATTTGTCATGTGTTGTTAACCTTATCAGTGATTGATGTGCTTCTTTTTAGGTGTACAAAGACAGAAATATGGTTGCACAGCTTGTAAAAAGAGCCGAGAGGGCCGGTTTTAAGGCAATAGCTCTTACTGTGGACACTCCGAGGCTTGGACGCCGAGAGGCTGATATTAAGAACAGGTGGGCATTGATTCAAGAATGGTATTTGTAAAGGAAAGTGTTATTGACACTCCAAAAATCTCATTCTACACTCCTCACAAGTGTATTTTTCTTTCCAAGTATAGAAAGTTTGGAGTGTAGAATGAGATTTTTGGAGTGCCAATAACAAGTCCCTCTGTAAAACTAAGAAAGATAGTTACTAGAAACATTTTAGGTTGTTTCATTACGAATTGAAATCTCATTTAAGGTCTTCAACAGATTTGTATTGCCACCAAACTTAACATTGAAGAACTTTGAGGATTTGGTTCGTGGAAAGATGGATAAGGTGGGTGACTAACCTGTATGACTTTCAATATCAGACAAGTATAGGTAACTTAATTTTAACGCATACATTTCTTAACTTTTTGGTGATCAAATTTTAGACCAATGGTTCTGGACTTGCATCATATGTTGCTGGACAAACTGACCAGTCTCTCAGCTGGAAGGTAAGATGGTTGCTTCAATATATGATTATTCAAACAATAAATCTGAAGTAAGATTTCACGCGGTATTTTTCGCCACATTCACAGGATATACAGTGGCTTCAGACAATCACCAAATTACCAATTCTGGTTAAGGGTGTAATTACTGCCGAGGATGGTAAGCAACCATATCCCTTACTCCACATTCCAATAGAAATCCAACTCCCCAGCTTGGTCTAGTATTGAAAGTTTATGACAAATTAACTATATATGTGCTGAAAAATGTAGCACGACTAGCCATACAATATGGAGCTGCAGGAATTATCGTCTCCAACCATGGAGCTCGTCAACTTGATTATCTCCCTGCAACTATTATGGCTCTGGAAGAGGTACATTCGCTTCATATATTCTGCTTTTATCAATTTGTTAAATGCTTAGTGTTCTGAAATTGTTGAGTATTCTCTCAACAATTCATATTCTTGAAACTCTAGTCATTCTAAATTCCAAGTCACTTTCTTTGCTGTATAGAGCTGTAACTAGTAATTTTCTGAAATTATGGTTTTGTTGTAACGGCTTATAGGTCGTTAAAGCTGCACGAGGCCAAATTCCTGTGTTTTTGGATGGTGGAGTAACGCGCGGAACGGATGTTTTTAAAGCTCTGGCTCTTGGTGCATCCGGCAGTATTTGTGAGTAAAGCTTATGTTACTTGACACTAAATAAGATACTGCAACTGTAATTCATTCAGTTGCCTGCAGCCTTTAATTTCTGTTTATATTAAAGCAACGAATCTAAAACAATGCCCTTAACCTACAAGTTCTAATCTGATACTTACAAACCTCAATTTTGCTTATAAGTATTTATTCATTTTGTATTCCCTCTGTTCAAATTTCAGATTGGTAGACCGGTGGTGTTCGCATTAGCGGCAGATGGCGAGGCTGGTGTAAGGAAAGTTCTTCAAATGCTTCGTGACGAATTTGAGCTAACCATGGCATTAAGTGGTTGCCGTTCGCTGAAGGAGATCACACGCAACCACATTGTAACTGAATGGGATCGTCCTCGTGTTGCACCTAGATTATAAGAAGGCCACGATTCTTTTTCGTGGATTGATACGATGAACTACTAAAAGTTTCCTGTCTTGAACGTTTAGGAAAATAATATTTGAGAACTCAAACTTCTGTATTGGTTCAGAAAAATATATCTGAGAACTCAACTTCTGTATTGGGAATCAAATGGTAGTCAATAAAGAGCTTCTACTTGGTTATCTTCAAACCAATATTAATTGGTTTAAATTCTGCTTCTGAACCGAATCTATCATGCTTGGTCATGTGTTTTATTTCTCTACTTCCACATGACACCGCGTGATTAGTTTCAGTTCTTTGCTTCCACATGACATTGCATGGTTGATTTGAGATTTCCCATCATTAGCATGAAATACCCCGTCATTAACATTTGAGTTGCATGTAAGTTCGTCTACTTTCCTCTTCTTTTTGCCGTGATGATATTATAAGCCAAAAGGGAGAGACATATAGTATGAATCCCTTATTTGAATGCTAGTGGTAGGATACTGAAAATCCCCATTACCATGTCACTTAACAAAAACTGCCAGGAAACTACCCAAGCAATTTCTTGCGAAAGACACCCATTTCCATCTTTTCTTTAGCTCCAATACCATTTGACCATTTTTTTTTTCATTTAGCTTATAAGGAAAGATTTTTCAATGTTAGGCTAACATTGACATGATGTTGTTCAAGACCATAGGTCAATTTACAACTACATATATGCAACATCCATCTTTGATTGTTAAAAAAAGCGTTGGAGGGTGTAAAGTCTCCACACAAAAAAACTGTTGAATATAAGTTTCACATCAGGAATTTGAAAAAATAAAATACTATATATAAGTGTATGATTTTTATTTTATTGACACCGAGCTATTTTGTGATAAAATTTAACACCTAGTAATAAGTGGTTAAATTGGAACAATGTCAATGTAGTTAGGGGTGACAAAATAAAATCTAACTTATATTCATCGTTACATTACTACTTACGTCAAGGCCTTTATATAAAAACATGTTAATTGTGCTTATTTTCTTATTTGGTTATCATCCAACGAAATTAGTGAACCATTTGAAATTGGTATAGTTTTTGAATTTTTCAAAACATGTACTCCAATAGTTGATTTATTTGTATCAACGAAAAAAGGTGTACTTGCCATAATGTACGTAATCTTCTCTCCCGCATCAACAAAAGAACAAAAAAAGTCATGTCATAATTCGATAGCAAAATAACACCATATGACAACAAAGACCTAAATAAACAAAAAACAACAAACATATGATGTCTCCCACATGATGATTTGAAGTGCTTAAAATTAACCAATTTACAAAATGCTCTCATAAATCGATGATCAACCTCTAAGCAAAAACAAAAAAATACCAATCAGATTTATTAAGTGGCCATAAATAATACATTCTAGTGCCATTCCTAGTGATGGAATGGAGATGTTGCTTGAGTCCGATGCTTTCTCTTCTGCAAAAACCTTTGGAGTGATTTCTTCATAGACATACCAGCAACGGGGCTACACAGCGGAGACATCACATTTGGTGAAGGTGGTTCTGCTGATCCACTTTGAGGAGTAAATAGACTATTTACCTTTTCCTCCATTTCTTTGTTTGCAAGAAAAAGGATGAATCTGGCCTGCAAAACGCTAACAAATGAATTTAATAATTTATTAGTAATTATTTCTTTATATGATTAATATCTATTTGGTTGGTAGATTATCTTAAACTTCAAAAGAAGGAGAACGTGGATCCAATTGGAATGTTATATATATTCGGAAAAACAAGCTTGCGTCATTTGTGGTGTAACTATTCATTCCATATTAGGATTTTTCTTTATAGGCTTTCAGATTAGGGTTAGAGGTATTAGTTGATTTGCCCTTAAACTTGTACAGAGATGAAAATTTTCCCATCGAACTTTACAATGAGTTCAAATCGATGAACAACAGTTGAATACAAAAAGATGTTAAACGGAGAAATCTTTATACGAGCAGCAAGCCATAATAATTAAGAATCTAAGAAAAAGTAGAGTACTTAATAAACAAACACACGACGTACCTGAAGCTCTGTAAACGCACACCATTCCGTTGTAGAAAATGGTCAGCCGCTGCTTTTGTTCTTGGTGCTGGGTTTCATTAGGGTTGGGGAAGCGTGAATCAGCAGAAGGATGCTGAAGCTCCAGATTGCAGTTTCTCATGGTAATTTAGGGTTTGGAACTCAAATTACCAAAAAACCAAGAAAAACCAAGAGACTGAAGGATGATGATGAAGATTGAAGAGAGAACAAACGAAGATTTGGAGTGGGTTTTAGAATGATGTTATGGCTTTATATATGAAACTGTCATATGCATGCCGACTGAGAAGGTCCCCACATAAATGTGACTAGAAACGCTCCTAACACGAAACGCACGCACTTTTTACACCAAGATAGTGATTAGCGGCGAAAAAGATTCCCTTTTCATTTAATCACGTGTATCATGATTTTTAAACTTGGTTTTTTTCTCTCTCTTCTTATTTTTTTGAATTAAACTGTATTTTACACCACAAGATTTGGGCAATTTATAAATAAGCCACAAAATTTCAAATTTCGAATATTGACCGAGTAATTTTTGAATTGTATCAATTTAACTTCTTTGTTAATTTTAGAGTCTCTTAGACATGAAGTGTTGATATTGCATAAATTGAGTTTGACCATCAATTTATATAGGGATTAAAAAAGTAAAGTACTAAATGGTAAATCGACGGACAACGTGTGTTTCAAATGTGACACATACTATGCCACGTTAACACTTAACTCTAATTAGACGATGAAATTGATAAAGAGGTTAACCTAATGCAATTTAGAAATTACGAGTGTAATATCTGGAAATTGAAATCCAATAGATCTGAAATCAATCAAACAATGGATATAAATGAATATATGATATGTCTCTCCCACACGATGATTTGAAGCGCTTAGAATTAACTAATTTACAAAAAGCTCACCTCGATCGATCAATCACCCTCTAACCGAAAACAAAAATACCAATCAAATTAATTAATTGGCCACAAATAATAAATTCAAGTGCCTTAATTCCTAGTGATGGTATGGAGATGTTGCTTGAGTCCGATGCTTTCTCTTCTGCAAAAACCGTTGGAGTGATCTCTTCATAGACACACCAGCTACGGTGCTACACAGCGGAGACACCACATTTGGTGAAGGTGGTTCTGATGATCCACTTGAAGGAGTAAATGGACTCTTTACGCTTTCTTCCATTTCTTTGTTCGCAAGAAAAAGGATGGATCTAGCCTGCAAAATCCCAACAAATCAATTTAATAATTTGTTAGAGGTTAATTATTTCATTATAATATGACTAATAGTTATTAGGGTTGGTAAATCATCTTAAACATTAAAAGAAGGAGAACGTTGAACAAAATGGTTATACATATTTGGAAAAACAAGCATGTGTCATGTGCGGTCTTAGAACTTTTAAATCATATTTGGATTAGTTAGGTCAAACATATAGTTCTGTTCTTTATTCGTGCTAATGGGGGAGGGCGGAATGCATCTTTAATTAAAAATGTGAAAATTTGTGACCAAAGGCATGGAACGAAATCAAAGTGTTGTAAAAATTACATAATTCAAATCATGAGCAGTTTTCTGGGAAATGGAGAGTCAGCACTGTCATGAGCCATAACACTACAGACACAGCTCACTACAGCACCTTTATCTCTGCAATTCTAAACCTACTTTGATCTATCTATATTTCATTTGCAATAAACTCCTAGATTATGAACGACAGTTGTTGAATAAAATTGAAACTTAATCGGAGAAATCTAAATGCACGAAACTGATCTTCTTGTGTTTTTAGGTTACAGATTAAGAAACAAAGAATTAAACACTCATGACATACCTGAAGCTCTGTAACATCTCGAACGCACATCATTCCGTTGTAAAATATGGTGAGCCGCCGCCGCTGCTGCTGGTGTTCTTGTTGCTGGGTTTCATTAGAACCTGGAGAATATAACTGAAGCTCCAAATTGCAGTTCCTCCTCATGTTGATTTAGGGTTTAGACTCAAAATTATCAAAAAACCAAGAGACTGAAGAAGGATGAAGAATGAAGATCCAAGAGAATTGAAGATGAATTGTGAGTTCTGGAGAATGATATGATTATATGGCTTTATATATACCTTACACTTTGAACCAATATAGTATACGTATTTTAAACGTGCTTTTAAAAATTGCTCTGCTGCTGCCACCGTTCATTTTCCGTGTGCAGTTTTTTCTTTTAAAACTCTTTCTTCGTTTTTTCTGAATTTTACACCGCTTTCTTTTTCACTCACGTGCTCGGAGTCGGCACCACCTTTCTCCATCAGCAACAACTAGCCTTTCCATTTTTTTTTTAATTATTTTAATCATTTTGTGCAAGATTACAAGAAATTAACTTGGCCCATCAATGATTGATTTGAGAGGAGCTTTTCCTTAATTTACTTCGTAATCAATTCACGGAATTTCAAACTTATGATCTGAATCATTAATAATATAAATTATATTAGAATAAATTAAGTTATCATCCCTCTTTTTTCTATTGCATTGATTAAAATATTAATTCTTTTTAATTTTTTATCAAAATCCCTAACTTTTAATAAATGTTATTATTTCAGTTATAAATTATTTACATATCAATATAATTAAATTTTATTTCTAAAATATAGTGTTAGAAACATTACATTTGGTATATTTATATTTATGATTAAACTTTTTATCATATATTTCTATTTTTTGTTTGTACCATTTTTAACTGGCAACCCTTTTTTAATTTGTACCAATTTTCTTTTTAGTTTTAATTTGTACCCATATATTAATTTCATTTTGTGCCCATATTTTCTAAATTTTTAGTTATACTCATAATTTATTTATGATGTACCCATTTTTCTTTATAAATGTACCAGTTGGTTATATGTAAAATGTACCCATTTATTTTTTTGTAAATGCACCAATTTTTTTATGTAAAATTTACCAACTTTTTAATGTAAAATCTATTTATTTTTTATGTATAATGTACACATATTTATAATAAAATGTACCCTTTTTCAATTTTTTTGAACACTATGTGTGACATCCCACATCGCCCAGGGGACTGATCCTTATATGTATAATCTCATCCTTACCTAGCACGAGGCCTTTTGGGAGCTCACTGTCTTCAGGTTCCATAGGAACTCCGAAGTTAAGCGAGAAGGGGGCCAGAGCAATCCCATGATGGGTGACCCACTGGGAAGTTGCTCGTGAGTTCCCAAAAACAAAACCGTGAGGGAATGGTAAGCCCAAAACGGACAATATCATGCTACGGTACTGGAGCGGGCCCGGGAAGTGATCTGCCCCGGGCCGGGATGTGACACTATGGGTACATTAGTTTGACATTTATTATTTCAAAGTTATATAGTTACATGTTTTTATCTATTTATTCAATCAAAATTTTTGAGTATTTTCTTTTTTATTGTAATCATTTTTAATTTATATGCCATATACTATGGGATTTTAAATCCCATAACATGTCAAGTAATTAATATCAAACATATGGAAATATATATTAATAGCAATAATGAGGTGTACAAAGTCAAGGAACATTGACCAAAAATTAAATACCATCAAGATTTTAGTCAAAGAATTTTAATGGTTACGGACCGGATCTAATGTTTCCCCTTATATTTCGTCAAATATGAAGAAGTTAATGTCATGCCGTAGCGTGCCATGATAAAGACAAAAAGTTTATGTGCATGTTCTACATGATAAGAATTATTGACTACACTATACAATAATTGTGGAACGCATTGGTCTTTAATTATCTTTCTAAGTTTATGCCTATCAAATTGTTTATGCTTTTTCTTCAATCCTAGCAATATCATACAAAAATATTTAAAATAAAAATAGAAATTTTGTGTCACATCCCAATTTCGACTCTGCTGTAGCACGATATTGTCCGCTTTGAGCCCCGGCCACACCCTCACGATTTTGTTTCTGGGAACTCACACGAGAACTTCCCAGTGGATCACCCATCCTGGGAATGCTCTCGCCCGAACTCGCTTAACTTCGGAGTTCTGATGGAACCCAATGCCAGTGAATTCCCAAAAGGCCTTGTGTTATATGGAGGTGGGCATGTACATACAAGGCACATCACCCCTTCTCCGTTGGTCGATGTGGGATGTTACAATCCACCCCTCTTAGGGGCCCAATGTCCTCGTCAGCACACTTGTACCACACGGCAGAGTGGCTTTGATACCATTCTTTCACATCCCAGTCTCGACTCCACTGTAGCACGATATTGTCCGCTTTAGGCCCTGGCCACGCCCTCACGGTTTTGTTTAAGGGAACTCACACGAGAACTTCCCAATGGGTTACCCATCCTAGGAATGCTCTCGCCTGAACTTGCTTAACTTCGAAGTTCCAATGGAACCCAAAGCCAGTGAGTTCCCAAAAGGCATCGTGCTATATGAAGGTGGGCATGTACATATAAGGCACATCACCCCCTCTTCGTTGGACTGTAATATCGATAGCTTAATTGTTGGGTTCGCTAAGCAAGCGAGCAAGTCAGCTCATTTACGGCATCAGTTATTCAATACAAATTATTTTCCTACTGCATAATTTTTATAGGTATTTTGCTATTACAAATTTTTGGGTGTGTTACTTTCGTTTTCGATTTTAAACTCAATACAAATATTTGAATCGTATGTTTATATATATATATATATATATATATATCTGTTTTTGATATTTTATTATATATATACTTTTTTCGTTATGTTTTACGTAATAATTGGTGTTTTCAACCTTACGGTTTATAGGGGTATTATACTACTATATTATCAAGGAAGAAAGAAGGTATGAGCTTGGAGGCATGAAAAAGGAATAATTGCAATCCGATCGCGATAGAATGATATTCTTTTTTATTTAGCCGCTAACTTGATTTCTTCCTTATCATTATATAAATATTTTCTTCCCTATTTTCGAGTATCTTACTTATAACAAGTTACTTTAAATTTCGGGGACGAAATTTTCTTAAGGAGGGTAGATTGTAAAGACCCGTCCCCAAATTTTGAGGTTTTAATAATTTTAATTTCTGAATTTATGAAAATGCCCTTCGAAACAAATACATTGACTTTTGTTGATTGCCTTGTTGTGTCATGTAGGATTCGTTTTCTTGGCGTATCCTCGTAGTACTCATCGTTACGAGCACGTGAACGCAAATGGAACGTAATTTGGAGTTATAACAAAGGAGTTATTAACAAATGAAGTCAAGACAAAATAGTAAATTGATTAATTTTTAGAAGGCTCCAGATTTTTGGAGCAAAATTTGCAAAGCCACGTGTGTGGCCCAGATTGAATAAAAGAAGAAATAGACGGGTAAGAGAAGAGATAAAAGAGAGAAAGTAGGGGCGGGATGCCCATTCAGAAGAGGAGAGAGAAGAGAGTGACCAATGGGAGAGGAGAAAAAAGAGAGAAGGGGAGAGGAGAGAAAAGAGAGAAGGGGAG